TTACCGATACTCCAGCGATGCTTAGGCTTTCCTACTTGAGTTGAATCGGTAATTATCGAAATTAAAATGTTATTTTAACAAAGGTCACTAAGATATGACAAATAAAGTGATATTAGGAAAAACTATAAAATAACTATTTTTGGAAAGTACTCGTCATTTTTCCAAGTGAAACCATTTCGATTTAAAGTACGACGAACGGTATTTAGCCAAGATAAAATAGGTCACTTTGTAGAGAATTTCATGGTGCATCTTTCTATGATAAAATCATGTCATTTGGATGAAAGAAAAAAAGAGTTAGAGATAAAATACTGAGGTGGCCATTTATTCTACCGCACCCGTTATTATGTTTTAGTTCAATTTGTTCAGTTACATATTGATCAATCGATGAACAATTTTTAATTTTCACAACAAAAGATGGATATCAATTTATTTTTCATAATTTTTTTCTAAAGAAATTTCAGATGTGTTCAATAAAATATCCATTTGATGATTCTATATTATATTCGAAACTTGTTCGATGATTTTCTCCATTAAATGACAAATGTGATTTCAATCGATCTAAGCGAAATTTTTCACAAAAACAATTCAAATCACCAAAAAAAAGCTTCGTCTACTTCTTGACGTTTTTGTCACATAGTCTTTAGAATTTAAACAAAAATCACACAACGCAAAAATCAATGATTTATCAACTGAATATTACCTCAAATTTTTATTAAAACGAATCAAAAGCTAGAAAATAATCTTTTATTTTGATCAAACGATTTGAATCATTATTTTTAAAAAATGTTATTTCTTTTTGCGCGCTCCACTATCACATCCAATTTCAGTTGCCTATTAGCTCACAACTGTCCTTGAATTATGAGAGACATTATTAAAAAAAAAACAAAGCATTTGATGTTCTATCAAAAATATAACTGATTGAAATTTTATTTCTTCATCTAATGACAACATTATTTGACAGATACGTGTATGTTTTTTTTGTAGAGTGATCCAAAAGTGAGCCTAGATCTCTCAACGATAGAGCTGATGGCATGCTGACTAAATGGAAAGTAGGAAAATTCTTCTAGTAACATATTAATGAGAAAATATTTTCTTTTATCAGTTTCGTTTCAGAGAAAAACAACAAGACTCTCTGCAAAAAAGACGATTCTGTTCTCTTTTTAGTGTGATGTTTTGAACATTGTCTGCTCTATAACTCTTCAGTGAGGTTTTTTTGGTTTAGCTCAATATTTCTCTGGCAAATATAACATAATAAACTTTTTTTGACTCGTAAAAATTTTAGCTACTTCATTAGAGATTTACGCTATGATACAAAATATTGAGTGAGGCTATTTTCATAGATAATTCGAACTGAATCAACTCAAAAGAATTTTTTTCAAATAAAATTAAGTTCTTCAACATAAGACGTGCTAATCTGCAGGTCATATGATTTTATTGACCACTTATTATCCTTGTCATATTGGTAAAATGGCTCGAGTCTTTTCTATATGTCGGGAAACTTTTATTGTTTACTACAAACATAGAATATCATAAAACACACTACTCAGAAATTATTTTATCCTACTATCATTTTTCGCGCTAATCGGATCAAAAAGTTACAATTCATTGATATTTGTCTTTCTAAATATGATGTGTTTGTATGCATCATTCTAACAAACTATATCGATTTTGTTAATTCAAAATTTCGAATAAAATAAAGAACGAGAGGATTCTCTTCAAATTGATTTAACAATCGAAAAGCTCATAGCAGTCTTTCATACATGCCTAAACTCATTTTGTACGTCTTTAAATCAAGGACTTATGAATATGTCATGATCGCTCCTACCAAAACTGTCATTATTAATAGTTACCTTCCAGAAAACTTTCCATCAAGATATTATTTTGTTCAGAAATTTTCACAATCTTTTTTTCTTCAGAAAATCTAGACTAACTTTTCTCTTCTATCCTGAAAATATTTTAATGCATTGAAAATCGTCGAACATTTATTATTAATCTTTTCAAAGATTCACTTACAAAATTCTGATTCTTAGTCAACTCTATAAAATTTCGACTGAACCTTTTCATCGGTCCAAAAAACAGAAAGGAAGACTTTGTTTCAAAACTTTCAGTTCAGAACGTATAACTCAACAATGTACTATTCTCAGGGGTGGCGCGAGTCAACCAACATTGGGGGGGTGTAGCGAAATTTTTTGGACTAGAAAGACGAAGTCTGCAATTTTTCGGGGGGTGTAACATTGTTTTTGGTGACAAATGGAAGAAAATTTCCTGATTTTGTTGAGCAAAAAAACAGAAATTTTTGAAGATTGGGGGGGTGTCGCACCCCCGACTACCCCCCGGTCGCGCCACCCCTGACTATTCTGACTATGGCAAGACTGAAGATGTATTTATAGTGAGAACTTCATCGACATCCACAATCGAGTGCGATGCATATCTCTCATGATCAAGCACAATAGAGAATGGGTCAAAAGTCATTTTATCGAGAAGAAACCCATGAGTATCTGCACGATACTTTGATGAATATGAAAAAATAAATAACTTTTTGTAAATTATTCACTGAATATATCTAGTTATTAATAATTAGAAGTTTCAGGAAACACTAAGCAAGAATTGATTGAAGTGTTGATTGGAAATATCTCTTGTTCATTATTTTTGATCATATGGATCAGACTATTTTCTCATAACTCATCAAAGACTTCACATTTATATTCATATTAATAGTAATATTTTAAAGCAGTGTTTTCTAACATTTTTCGTAGGAATGTCAGTTATGAGTACTTTCTTATTAGTAGTATAAAAATCAGTCCATTTGGTCAAAGTATGACAGAAATATTCATGCTTTTCTTCTCGATGAAGTAACTTTTGGCCCACCCTGAATGTGCAGCATTCTTTACTTGAACCACTCATTAACTAACAGCAATAAATCTGTTAAGCAGAAATGTCTTTCGATTGTTATTTCACTCAAAGTTCAACTTATTTTTCTCATTTCTTCATCCACATGATCAGGATATCCATCAAGAGCAGAATGAAAGCAACCGAACTCATGATGGCTGTATTTCTTTTTTTCGTTCTTATCAGAAAAATAAAAAAAATTCACTCTGATAAAAAACGATGTATGAAACAAGATATCCAACGTCGCGGCGCTTGAGACATGGTATAGATGAAAGTCAAACGAAAGTTGGAAAGAACAATGATGCACGCAATAACGTTGTTCGATTTTTTCCTTTCGTTCTTTTTGCCGGCAATCATATCATCTCTTAAAACTCAATGAAGTTTGTTGTTGAGTGGTAACGACAAACAAATACCCACATTTTATGTCGTAGAAAAAATCAGAAGACAGCTAGTATATAAAGAGAAAAAGTGATCTGTCTTTAAACGACAAGCAATTATCTACTATACTCGATTGACTTATAAACGACAGTTCACAGTGAATATAAGTGAACAAGAATCAAAATAAAATATTTCCAAACTAACAATGGATACCAATCCAAATACAACAGTCCCATCGACTACCATGCAATCAAGACGGTACATCAGTCAAAATTATTTGATCCTTTTCGTCGATGGAAACATTGATCCAGCAAATAAAGACTACCAAACCACACTCGAACAACTGCGAAGAATAGCCAATGAAGTCTGCATCTTTACACAATGTGATGAATGTGTTGACTTTCTCACTGAAGTCGATGATCGAAAAGCATTTCTCATTGCATCGGATACTATCGGCCAACAAATGATACCCCTCATCCATGATATTCCTCAACTTCATAGCATCTACATCGATTGCAGTAACAAAGCTTCACAAGAAGATTGGAGTAGCCATTGGAACAAAGTTAAGGGCCCATACACAGAAATTCCGCTTATCTGCGATGCATTGCAAATAGCTGTCAAGCAATGCAATAAAGATGA